TTATTTTTATCATTGGAAATAAAAGATGCAGTTTGATTGTATTCAGGCTTAATCTGGAAAAATCTGTAAAGCCCGAAACCTTGCTTCTAATCACATACAAAGAATCTTTTCCTTATTCCCCCAGGAAAGCTAAAGTAAACACAAATTCAAAGATACACACACACACACACACACACACACACACACACACACACACACACTTCTAAAATTCATATTGTTTAACTGGTGTATCACTATAAATATTAATTTTCCAAATATCCTAAGGAAAATTTAATAATGAACAATTACATGGATTCATATATTCCAAATGACTAAGAGCTAGAAAAAAGCAATAACTCTACAATCTAATAGTTTCATTATAATTCATGAAGTCATACCTGATGACTTAGAGATTGAAAAGGCTCACAGGTTCCAGACTGCATGACCTTTCTATTTCCAGGAACCCCTAAAGATTGCATTTCCTGTCTTACAAAAGATAATCACAGCCATCTCTATGTCTCAGCATCTTCAGGGCTAGTGAAGAAAACATCAAACGGCAGATCTGTCCATCAGTATCTTTTTAAGCCACCGTGAAGAGATCACATCTCATATACTGTTTATGGTCTCCCCTTTGCAGCTACAAACATGCCTTATTAAGGGAGGATGTATTTGCTGAAGCTGCTAATGCTCTCTGGGGAAAAAAAAAGTAGGCTTACTGCTTAGAGTAATTCTGCCTCATGAAACAGAGAATGAGCCGCATCCTTTAGGTTTCCGACTCCTGCTACTATGAAGATTTCACTTGCCAAGGAGAGTTTGATTTTTTTTTGTCAGACCTTTAAAAATAAGCAATGTTCTATTTCATTAAGCATCCAATGTGTCTGTTGCAAATACCATGTTAAAATGGCAATTCTTAATTATCAAGCAGTTTTCTCCAGACATGACTGAGCTTTAGTATGATTTAACAAGAAAAATTGTACTCTTTTTTTAAAGGAATTTTCCCTCCAAACCAGGTATATCATCACTCATCCAACTCATTAATATTAGAAGTCCCTAAAACTGAAGAATTTTTATTCTGGTAATCTTTGATAATTGTATATAACAGTAGGTAGATAAAGAGGTAAATACATATGCACTTTTAATTCTGAGGAACTTCATTTTCATTTCATATCTTCAGACAAACATGCTTCAAATCAAAATACCTTTTATATTTCTATTTAATATTTTCTTCTGAAGAGTTTAACATGCAAAAACAATGTGCTAGTATCAAATTCCAAAAGTGTATTGTAAGTCTAGGAATGAAAGAAGCCTATGTAAGTTATTGACATTTTTATTGTGATTTTTCATTGTGTCTTATTTGTGTTTATCAGAGTTCTTATAATGCTGATTTTTTTACCACAACATAATAGAATCAGAAAATTTTAAGACTGATAAAGTAGTCTGATAATAGAGAACCNATAATTTTACCTAAAGTCCCCTTATTTTCCTTCATCTTTAACTCTACTACATTTTCAGAACATATCAATCAGGTTAATATATTTTTATTACTATTATGCTACTACTAATATTTATTCTACAATGATTATAGTTCACTATAATTGTTAACACATATTTTTAATCTCCTTTTCACAGTAAACAACCTCTAAATGGGCTTCAGAAACTTTTTTTTGCTGACCTAAAGCACACTTCAATATTCTTAAATTTATATAACATAATCTATTTATTGACTCAATTGCCTAATCATTTAATATGTGCCAGAACCTATATGAGGCCATAGGGATACTGAATTAAAATATACACTGCCTTCTAGGATTTCATATTTTAAGGGGAAATGATATACAAGTACGTATTTTTTCAAATGTTATACCAGAAGTAGACTTAGTATTCTAAGGGATATATAAATAACTACTTAACCCCACTAATTGATGCTTAAACTGATAGGATTTACAGCACAAATAGGATTATCAAAGTAAATAAGAAGAGCATTCCTGGCAATTGGCACAAAAGCATGGTGGTATCAGTGATTTCAAAGGATATAAATCCCACTCTTTTTAACTTGACAGGTCTTTTTTTCTTTTTTTTTTTTAAGACATCTCAAAATATTACAACATTCTGGTGAGGAAAGCATTAATACTACTGCTTTTACTGTATTTTTTTATATGAGGAAATTAAGATACATTCAAGATTTACAGTAAGCCAATGGCAGGGCTAGAACTAGAAGTAAAATGTTGTTTTTCTGATTGCCATCTGAATAGTCAATCATTGAATAATTTCAACTCTACATTCTGAAACTGTTCATCTCTCAGCTGCCTGATTTTTCTCAGTGTTGCTTATAATCATAGTAATAATAATAACTAATATTCATTTTAAGGTTTACAATGTGCCAGGCATAGTGCTAGAACTTTACACACATTCACTCATTAAAACTCTTCAAAACAGATGAGTGTTCTGAGACTTAAAGAGGCTAAGACACTTTCCCAGGAACCCTCAGCTACTAAGAGGAAGAGACTGAATTTGAAGGCAGGTCGATACTCTCAACCAATATGCCACCTTACAAAGTTATTATATTAGTTAAGCATAAAATCTAAAGTTCCTTGATTTAACTTTAAAACACTTCAGAGTCTGGTCCAAGTCTACTTATACACCTCAGCTAATATGAATTCCTAATGGTTACCTAAGTGACCAAAGCCATATTTTTCCCACGGACATTTCATACTCATTCCTGATTTTGTTATTCAACAAAAAAATTTGTTAAGTAGTTACCATGTGCCAGGTACTGTATTAGTGCTGGTTTTAAAGAAATAAAGGTACTGCCTTTGCCCTTAAACAGTTCATAACCAAGACAGGAAAATCAATGACTGAATACAGCATGTATTGTGATTTAATTAAGATAAATATTGGAATTCAGAATAACACAAGGGAAAGTACCTAATTCACTATGATGCGACAAGGAGATGTGTTCAAAAGGAGGTGATGCTTAACCTATTAATAAATATATCTTGAAGCACAAGAAAGAGTTGGCCATGAAAAAACAAGATATGAGGGGCCAAATGCATTCTAGGCAGAGAGGACAGCATTTATAAAGGCTTGAGAGAGCCCATCTCTCTCTAGTAGAATTTAAACTAAGTTTAACAAAAGATAGCTAAGTTTAAGTGGCACTTCCTCATTTCTCAAAAAGTTAAAAATAGAACTACCATACAATCCACTAACCCCACTTCTAGGTAATATACAAAGGAAATAAAATTACTATCTCAAAGAGATATCTGCACTCCCATGTTAATTGCCACATTATTTGCAATATCCAAAGTGTGGGAAAAATCTAAGTCTGTCAATGGATAACTGAATAAAATTAATACAATATTATTCAGCCATGAGTATAAAGGGAATCCTGTTATTTGAGACAGCATGGATAGATCTTGAGGGCATTATGCTAAGTGAAATAACTCAGACAGAGAAAGACAAATATTGTATGTTCTCACTTCTCTCACTCTGAAAGGTAATGAGGAGCCTTAGAATGAGTTTAAATTGCTGAATGCCTGTTGCTGCTTTCCGTTTCCAAAAGAATACTCTGGAAGCTGAGTGGTGAGTACGTCTTTCAGGGTGGGTGATGGGAAGAAAAAGAAATGCCAGTTAAGGAATGATTACAATGGTCCAGCCGAAAAATGAATGTTAACTCATGCTGAGGTCAAGAGCACGGGGAATGAAAAGAAAGGGTAAATGTTGGACTCCTTAGGAAAAATAAGCTACATAGCTCAGTGCGTAATTGGATCTAAGGTTGCAGTAAAGAAGCTGAAAATGATTATCAGGTCATCATGCCAGAAAAGACAAAGAGGTTTTCGAAGAGAAAATATTAAGTTTAATTTGGGACATACCAAGTGTGAGGTATTTATAAAATAAATGAGCAGTGGTGTCTCACAAGAGGCAATGTCTCAAACAACTAGACAGGGGTTAAGATGGAGAATTGATCCATAGATTTAGAATGCTTCACCACGTAAAGCAGCAGTTCTCAATTCTGGCTGCCCACCAAGTTCATTTGGAAAAGTTTTTGCAAATACAGGGTTTTATCTCCATAGGCTTTACTTAGTACTTCTGCGATAAGCTTGGGGCATCAATGTTTTTAAAAGGCTAAATATGTGATTCTGATGCACAGTCACAATGAAGAATCAGTGGTGGGTAATTTAAATCATGAGTATATAGATTAGATTTGTGGTTTTCAAACCACAAATGTTGTACCAATTAGGGGACATTGAGTAGAAATTACCAGAAAGATTATGATAATAACAACTATCATTTATTGAGCACCTATGGCAGGAATTGTGCTAACGACTTTACATATATTATTTGTAGTGAAAGAGAAACCAGAAAGAAA